CCCCAAAACCCCAAAACCCCAAAACCCCAAAACCCCAGGTGGCAATCACTAATTGTTATTATTAAAAATCTTTAATAAAATGGAGAGTAACTCACTTGGAGAAAGGAGCGTTGACCTGCACCGAAATAAAGATTGCAAAGAAGCTAGCACATCTTTAAAAATGTATCAAGGTAGGATATCCATTGTTGTAGCAGAGTAATGGGAAGCTAGAAGGGAAATTTGAACAGACAAGAGCTTAAGATTCGAGATATTTTTAAACATGTTTGGTTGAACAGTGGCTGAACTTTGTTGTATAGAGTATATCCACCTTGGAGAGGAGATTGATGAGTCAAAGATTAATACAAGCTCATATATGTAAGTTTCATATGGCAATAACTCATTTTTCTCAAGGCTAGATTATTTCAATTTCTTGGAAGCTTCGGAATACAGAATACCCTAACTTATTTTCTCTAGGAAGCTGAATACCACTTTAGGAGAAATAAAAAGTTTTATCACAAATAAAATAAATACTCAAAATAGAGTTATTGAAAAAGATTTGGATGATGCTGAGTATTCCAAATGGTAAGTTTTGAAGGCCAGTTCTCACTTTAAACTGTTAATGACTTAAGGCAATCTAAACCATGTAGGTTGGAGCATAGATCCTTTGCATCAGGCTTAGTGACACCCAAAGATTACCAAGATATCAATAAAAACTATGGTATTTTTCATTTTAAAGGTTATCTAGACCCTTCATCAAAGATCCAAGTCAGATCCAAAGATGAGTTCTACCAAAGAATCAAAGAAATTTTCCAGAACTGTAAAGATATGAGATAACATCTAGTTGTGTACTTGGGAACCAAGAGATATTCTGCCAGTTGTTACCAAAAAGTTCATGACTTTCTGAAAGAAGAAGCTAAGGTTGAAGATGACAAGAAGTTCCAGTGGCTCCTCGTCTTTGCCAATAGTGTCAAGAACCTAGAGGATGCTCCCATTGGTTTGATTAGTAAAGTAAAGGCGGTTATTGAGCAATCTGAACATATTCAATATCAAGATATCCCAGGATCAGGATCTTCAAAAAGTAGGAACACTCAAGAAATTATTGATGAACGAATCAGGTTTTAATTAGATTCATATAGATCTGATTGATTTCAAAAAGCAAAGAGAGGTGTTCAGAAGGCTTATTGATTCTTTGAAGTTTGATAAAGCCCAAACAGATCCAGAGGTGTATGAGTGTCTATGTGCAATGTCGAAGAACTATAATTCTGGATATCATTTACTTCAAGCATCCAGAACTTTAGGTACGAATAATCTTTGATATCCATAATATTTATAGTTTCGAGTAAAATGGATGAACATAAGCAGTATTTGTACCACGAAGATATGCTAGGATATAAGCTAGATTTCTTTGATTCCCTTGAGAAGATAATTTCAGACTCAATTAAAGAATATGAAATGTCAAGCGAGAGCGATACTTGGTAAGTAATTCTTTCCATAATTCTGACAGATTCTCATTAAATCTTTCCTATAGCTCAGAGATCAGTTCTATCACATTCAACCCAGATCTGACTTACCCAGCTCCTGCTGAAGAGTCAAAAAGCAAAAAGAAAGATGGTTCAGCCCGGTCTGATTCTCCCAGCGCTACCCCAATAGAAGAGGAGAACAAAATCATGGATATAGTTTTCTCTGATTGAAAAGATGACAAATCCATATCTGAGAAACTGAGAGGTATAAATGTCTCTAAAAATTAGGTAAACACTATGCATTCGGCAGGAACGACACCTACTTCTACTTCTACCTCGAAGGATTCGGAGTCTACAAGGTACCCAACCCAGTAACGTCTAGATCTGTGGAGATAAGGTAGTGGCACGCTCAAGATGTAAAGAATTGAAAACCGGAACACTCTCTTTTGTGTTCTTGAACAGAGTAAGATATTTAGTGGATAATTTACATTTAGAGTTCTGAACCTTGTATCAGAAGAAGCGATGATATTTACACAAAAAATCTTCCCTTCTTGAGTGTTGATGAAAATTTGGAGCTTACCAGAGTTACCAGGAAGGTATTGGTCTGTAACGACATATTTTAGTTAAAGAGAGAATACGCAGACAGGCAGAAAGAATACAAAGAAAAAGATATTCAATGTTTTGAGTCAACACATTCAGCTGATATTTTTGCTCAGTCTGATAAGGACAGAGTCAGGTATGCTTATCCTGACTAAATATTTATTTGAAATAGATTCATGAGAGCAACTCCGCTGTTATGCGAAAAGGAAATGATCTACGCTCTCTCTTCGACTGTAGAGATTGACAAAAATGAATTATCACCTTTGATTAATCAAAATCTATGGGAGAATACAGACAAATGGGTCAAGAAGATATGCCATTGGGAGCTTCATGGATATGATGTGACTAACTTAAAGCATCAATTTAAGCTTGAGCTCAATGGAACCATCGAGCAAGAACTCAAAGATAAGTTCCCTGATAGATTATTAGAATATGAGTCATTAGAAAAAGAAGTTGCTCAGAATCTTAGACTCGATACTATCCAAAGAGCTATTCTTTCATTTGGATCTGAAAATCTCATTGTTTGTTTTGATCATAAAATCTACTTCTTTTCACTAGAAACAGGACATTTGCAACCAGATACAAGAGAAATTAGCGAGAATATCCTTGGATATTCGTATGAGAATAACAATCATTGGCATCTTGAAAAAGCAGTCTCTGGAGAAGGTCTCACTATTAAACCACTAACAATAAAGAAAGTGGAGTGTAAGAGAATTGAATTCGTGCAAAGATCACTCACTCACTTCATAAAAAAACAAATCATTACTTCCAAAGAGCAACAGAAGTATCTAGAATGTCTTAATATTTTTAGGTTATCAGAGGAAAATATCCAGGCAATTTTGGATAAGGTTACACTGGATGAGGATAAACAAGAGCAAGATACTTTGCTTAACTTATAGAAAAACTGAAACAGAAGTGCTAAAGGAACGCTTTGTCAACTGCCATGGTGCATCAGTGCTACCTTTATTCAAACTTGCCAACAACTTCCCAAACAAGAAGGAGATGCTCATTGATTTTGACAATAACGAAGCTGAGAGATACATTAAAAAGAATTTATATGGATATGATTCTCTGTATGAAATCACCATTGAATTTTATCAAGAACTTGCAAATAATATCGACCACAACTATGAAGTACTTCTAGAACAATTTGAGAAAGGTAACTAGACTATTTTGATCTTTTAGAAAATGGTTCAAGACCAGAGGGATCGTTAAAAGAAATCAGCAAAGAGAAGTTCCAATCTATCACAATGAATTACTCATGGATCATAAGAAGTCATCTTCTTCTGAGAATATTGTTTTTCTGTCTGAAACAACTGCTTGATGTAGAGATCAACCCTACTCTTGCATTCAAAGATGATACATGCATGTTGCAATTCTTTGCTAAAATTGGTTACTTTATTGACATTCAGCATTTGTAAGAAAGCTTGATAATCCCATAGCCTTGTAAACTGTAATACTGGAAGACTTTACAAATTTAACAATAGTTCAAAGTAAGGGAGTCTGCTTAAGCATTCATAGAACTTCTGTGCCTATTGGCATGAGTGAAATTCGTATAATGAGCCACATGATCAAGGTAAATATCTAATAATATCTTAGATCAACAAAGAGTTCCTTAAAATGGTCAAAATGTACTACTATTCTTTATGAATGATGAATAAGCTAGAACCTGTCCCTTGTGATAGAGAAGATTTTGACATACTCAAGTTGCTCTCAGGAGTTAATTTGGCCTTCTTGAAACCTCATCAGAATGAGGTCCTTGGGTACATGCTTACTAAGTTTGAAAGTTATGATGTTGACAGCCTAAAAACACTTCTTAAAGAAGATGAATCGGTCAGGAGTAAATTAAAACTTCTCGTTGAAAAAGTGAAAATAACTTGTGTATTGTCTTACTGAGACCTAAGTTTTACGGTTGACTCTCTCACCTCATATCTCGAAAGGTAAAGATATCTTTAATTTTTTAGAACTTACAATTTACTGAACTCAATTTTGATAATGGGTACAAGCCACGAGATCTTCGGCTTTTATGTAACACTCATTAAAATTTTTGAGTTCCACTGAATGTACAAGAAAATGAAGCCTTCTGGAGTGAATCGTTCTCTACAAATCAAAAATGAACTGTTACAAAGAGTATTTGACGATATTCAGCCTCATTCCAAGATGCTCTCAGGTAAGTAGTCACATGTCAAACTGTAGAACAAGGAGCCGATACAACCGAGCATCACGAAGACATTGTTTCAATATATTTAACTCTGATGAGAACACTGAAGACAAAGGAAGAGGTAAGGGACTTTGTTAATAATCTAAACTCAAAATTTAGGCAAATCTTTTCAGGAAAACTTCAGTCTCACCAGCATTCTGCAAATCTAAGAGAGCAGCTCAGCCAGGGTGCTGGTATGATATCTTAGAGTATCATTCGATACAATTTACTATCAAACAAGGTAATTCTCTTTTAGAATATGTGTAATCTTGTTTGGATATGATCCTCTACTACTGAATCATGGCATCAAGGAAACATCATTGGCCTTTGAGAATGCCATCTAGGAGTAGTGCCTTAGCAGTTTAGTCAGCACAACTGTGAAGGCTTTCAGCAACCTATTGTTGAGTTTTAAGAGGTTGATGCATTTTGTCAAAGATGAGCATTAGAGAGTGAATAGCTTTAGAAATTCTGCTTTGATGAAGTCTTATATTTTGCATTAATATCTTTGCTCTTTCATTAAGCAATCAAGCTATCACAGTATCAATCTTTGTCAAAATCTAACCTCTTGATATATCATAACTTTGATCATCTCTAACCAAAATAGAAATAATCGATGGAGGTATGACCGATCTTCTAATTATTTAGCCGGTTTGGATGAACACATAAATCCTGAATACACTCAAGATCACCCCTTGTTCGAATACATCGACAAGTACCTTTACACCACACAAAAAGACACTTACCAAGAGTAACCTTCCCTCTTTCCTCCCTGACCAATTTCTAGCTTTCCACCACTGGGAGCTCTCTCAGACCTATCAAAGATATTCACGATGTACGTGCACATCCTAGGCTACACTGAGACTATCCAGAATATTTGTACTGTCTTCGGAGATCTCAGTGAGGGCGAGATCTATCCGAATGTGTACAGTGTGGGAGGTAAGTTAGAGGATTATAGGTTTAGATGTGGAGAGAGTTAAGGAAATTAGGTTTGAAGAAATTAAGGGGAACAGAGAGATGGAGGAGAGTTTGGTGAGGGTTTTTGAGAGCCAGAAGAGTTTTATGCTCCTTGTGGGACTTTGGAAGCAGGTCAATCGGGAATATGAGGAGTATAAGGCTGAGAATGGGGGTTTGGATGAGAAATATCGGCTTTTTATGAATTTGGAGTTCTTGTCGCTTGAGAAGAGTGGACTGAAGGAGAGAATCAAAGATCTTGATGAGTTTAAACAGCTTGATATTTCTACAGTTGTTAGAGCTGATGAACTCACTGAAGCCCATCTCAAGAAAAATAATGAGCCATCTGAAGAAGCAAAGGAAGAAATTAAAGAAGAGGTCAAAGAGGAAGTTAAAGAGGAGGTTAAAGAACCCCCTCAAGAAGAGGATGATGACTGGGTAAGCTTTGATTGAAACCCATATAGGAAGCTGAAGAAGATAAAGCATTTTTACAAAATTTTTCTCAAAACCTCTCTGATTTAATGCCACAAAATGGACCTGCTCAAGAAATTATCAAGGAAGTGATTGTAGAAGACAAAAGAGTATTCACAGCTTTGGAAACAATCCACCAAATAACAAACTGCATTAAATATTTTATTCTTGACAAAAAGTCTGCTGGTGAAATTTTAGCCCAGCTCAAAGCAGTTCATAATGAGAATGTTCTAGAGTATAATTATGTCAAGAGTAATTAATTTGCTTTAATATCTAGAAATGACTTTCTTCTACTCAATTCCAAACCTCAATCAAAATGCCAGGTACTCTTCCAGCTTATTTGTAGAAATATGATAAACAGATGGATGAACAAGAAGATGAAGCAGAAGAGCACCTTCATCTCCAGAGATTATTTCCTCAGCTACATCAAGATGCCTACTGATAAGTTGACTGTTGACGATAAGCAAAGATATGGGATGCTTGTATCAGCTCTGCTGTTCCAATCCTTAAAAGTGTGTCTTGATATTAATCTCTAGGACGAAAAACAACCAGTCAGCCAGAAAAGCATCAAAAGTCTTATCAAAGCCAGCGGAGGTATACATAGAGTCACATATTTAGCTGCTATTCCAGAAAACTCACTTTGGCTTTCTCTGATAAGCGATCCTTACACATTAGAGAAATTAGATAGAGGAATCTGGACAAACTCGATAACTGAGTAAGTATCATGAGATTGATTCTTAATAGAATATTTAACGAACTGGATGAAAGATACACGTAAGTACTCCAAAATAATACATCTTAGAAGCACTAGTTCTGAACCCATAGATGAAGGTAAGAGCATTCATTTAAATTTTAAATCTTGACTAATACTCAAATTCATATATCTTAATAGGAGAAGTTGACGTTGCAGCATTGTTTGGAGGAGATGATGATGATTACTAAAAGATGACCAATCTCAGAAAATCTCTACTGAAGATCCCAAAAGTTGTCATTTAAAAAGTAGAGATTATTCTTTTAAAAGTTAGCACATCAATGGGTCTACCATGCCTCGGGGTTTTGGGGTTTTGGGGTTTTGGGGTTTTGGGG